TATAGACACTTTCACCTCTTTTCCTTTAAAAGAAAAGTTTAATTGTTGCTACTGACAGAAAACAAAATAAAGCTGAGGCTGGTAGGATGGGGGATGGGCCACTCCTGCTGTGGGAGGCAGTGTTTTGTTCCCTTTATTACACAGGAGTGACCCCATGGTTCTGAATTGTTTCTAATGTTGCCTTTTCATTGATCATGAACTTGGGGCTATGTTTCATTGACTCCGAAGTAATTTTTGAAGGGGAAAAATGTGCTGACATTGCAGGGTACCTGGATCATTAAGCTTGCCATTGCTGACCAAAGAAACACTGGTCTAGAAGGAAGCATTTATTTGCTTAAAATAAAGATGGAGAGGTTGTCACCTCACAGAGCTTAGCAATGGTTTATAGGCTGTTTAGTTTTTGTAGACACTTAAATAATCTAGAAACTAAAGAAAATATTGTGAATGGCAGAGTGTGTAAGAAATCTTATTTTCTACACTCTGTCCCCTTCTTTCCAGGACATAAAATAGCCAGCTTGATGTCTCTTATGTTTTAGAGACATCCATTCTCTAATTCTATTAGGGAGTGTGTTATTATATCACAGAGAGGGAAGTAAGTTATAGCTGAATACAAGGATGAGCAATTAGCAGAAGTATTGATGTGGAAAATAATTCCCATGGAGAAATGCTGAAAGTCTTCTGCCCATAAAAGATGAGATGGGTTTCTTACAGCTATTCTTTTATCAGAAAGATTGGTAAATGTGTTAATGGGTGAAGAAAACTATGAAGAAAAGGGTTTCTTTAAGTCTGAGGGATGCCAAGCTACTTTATAGTCTAGAAAGAGTGAAGGATGTTACACAGCCATATACAAGACAGAATGTCTACAACATTTTTTAATTGATGAAATCAAACACTTAATGAGTAAGTTGAAATTTTCTTCCAATGAGGATCAAATTCTTTTTGGGGAAACAATTTTTTAAAAGGGGATACATATTATTGTTCTTTGTTAGCAAATTTATTACAAATACCTATCTTTCAAAACTGTTCTTTGTTCCTGGTTTATACAAAAAGAGGCACTAGCTTGTCTTTAAGTTCTTTTATCCAGTACTGGGAGCTTTATTCTCAACATCCATCAGGACTTGTACCAGGAAATGGACTTGGCGTCATTAATGGGAATCTGTGCTCCATGTGGGTAGGATGGATAATTAACTAATCTGTGGTCTTTGATTTCAGTAAATAAAAATAATCCATACACTACTGCTGTATTTGGGTAATTTTCCCTCTATGGGATAATTTCATAAGAGCCAATTTTATATGCTTTTCTTCTATGTTACAGGTTTTAAATTTAGTTTGGCTAATATGCTGAATAAATTTTACCTCTAAAGAAGTTCTGTATCTAAAAATGAACAACCTGCCTGTTCTTGGTTACAATCCATTGATTTCTGTGAAATAAATGCCATAACAAGCTGTCCTATGCTTGACCTAGTTATTTATGTCTATCTTCCTGCCTCCAACAACACATGGAAACTTAATCTCCAATGTGACAGTAGTAGGAGTTGGGACCTTCAGGAAAGTAATTAAGTTCTTAAACTGGAGCCTCATAGTGGGGACTAAGGCCCTTATGAAAGAGGCTGTACAGTGTGACACTGCCCCCTCAGTCATAGGAGGGCTCCTGGGAGGGAAGAGG